AACAGAAGTACCACGTATGAGTGGCCTTCACAGATAGAAATGTATTTTCTTATAATTTAGAGACTAGAAGTTTTGAATTCAGAGCACTGGCTCTGAGAAGCCTCTCTCTGTCGACTCTGGAGGAAAAGTCTTGTTACAGATTCTTTGGCATTCTTCTTGGTTTTCTTTGGAGATCTCTAGGTGACATCTGTCTTTCTCTATTTGTCCTTACTTCTGTGCCCAGTCTGCTCTGTTTATATTTCAGAAGTGATTGGCTTAAGATACATGCTACACTAATAGTGTTTCCTTTATTATGTTCATGATGGCCTGTATCGAAATAGGATTACAATTATACACATAAGGGTTAGGATTCCAGCATACATTTTGAGGGGATACAATTCAACCCATAGCAGACATGGACCTAGTAGCTTGCATTTCACATTAGAACTGCTGTTTCTGATCCTTTTTCCCCTCCCTCAACATTTATTTTTAACTGTGTCTAAGGATAGCACCATCATTGTTATTTTTTATTTAGAGAAAGGTAAGGTGATGAGTAGCCCTGGTGCAGTGGTTAAGTGTTTGGCTGCCAACTGAAGGTCAACAGTTTGAACCCACCAGCAACTCATGGGCTTCCTGGCAATGTCTTCTCAAAATGATTTCAGCCTAGGAAACCCTATAAGGCAGTTCTACTCATTATACAGTGTTTCTATGAGTTGGCTTCAACTCAACAGCACACAACAACAACAAGGTGATGGGGTAGGAGGTTAATAAAAACTCTAAATTCACCGTCATTGAGTAGATTCTGACTCATGGAGACCCCAGTTGAGTTTTGAAGGCTGTAAATCTTTCTGGAAGCAGACAACTTCATTTTTCTTCCACGGAGCAGCTTTATGATTAGCAGCCAAATACCTTAACCACTGTGCCACCACATTTGTTAGTCAGTGGTAGAATTTTACCTTTCATGCAGGTGACCTCGGTTTGATTTCTAGCCAATGCACCTGAAGAGCAGCCACCACTCATCTCTCAGTGGAAGCTTGAGTTTTGGTATCATGCTGAACAGGTTTTAGTGATGCTTAGTGTGGACTAAGACAAGAAAGAAAGGTTTGGCAATCTACTTCTGAAAAATCAACCTATCTAAACACAATGGCCCAATTCCATTTGTACATGAAGTCACCATGAGTCAGGGGCTGACTCAGAGGAAGCTAAAAACAATGTGACAAGGAAGTAACTAATTGTACAATCCCAGGATGGGCCTTTGGGGAGCTCACCTTCAGACCCATTCTCCTTTCCTGTTGTTTTCTACTGCTGTTGCTGACCACGCTGTTTCCTATTCTGTTTATGGAGTACAGATCCTCGGTGGAGTTCATTTGATATCTCTTTTTGGAACTATTGATGTGCACTGCCTAGCAGGCATGGCTTCGTATTTCTGGTTTAATATATGCAAGGAGGAGCTACTTTTTAAATCTGAATCCTGCACTCCCAAAGGCTTCAAAAGGGCTTTTACTAGAGGTACATGGGCCTCCTTGGAAGCCACTCCCCATACACTACAGACTTCCTCTTACAGCCTTGTCATGATAAAGTCAGTCTTGATTCTTTATCTTGACTCTGCCACCCCATGGCCTTGAACGTTTCTAAGTCACTTAAGTTTGGGCCTGCATTTCTTCATCTCTGAACTTAGACAGTTGAATATTATAATCTTAAGATTATATTCCTAAAGGTAATTTAAGATTCTCCTTTTCTCTCTGAAATCTGAACATCATTGTACATAATTTAGACATAATTATTTCACAGGCTGGATATTATTAGCACAAAATAGTAGCCTCTGTCTGGGAAGAGAGAATTAGAGTTGACTATGAGGAAATTGAAATGCTTATTCCCTTCCTAATTCAGCTGCCTGAAATCCCTTTAGTGTACCATTTCTGAGTTAGCATGTGGGTGTGACTATAAATTTCCCCTGACAAAAACTACATCATCTCATCAGCCACATAAGAAAACAGCAAACCAGCCAACTGTGAAAGCATGCTTGCCAAGCTTTCAAAATCATTGCATTGGGAGGAGACACATTTGTATGAAATGAAATCTAGGCTGGTTAAAGCTCAAAAGTTAGGTTCTGGTATACCTGTCTTCACTAAGCTGCAACATAGAGGGAGTGTGTGTGTGCTAGTGAGGCCAGGGTTCCAGAAATTCCTTTGCTTCATGAAGCTACACAATCAGTGCAGTGCATGGGGAGAGAACACAAGGGCATGTGGGCATGCTGCTATGTTAGCAATTATTAGATCTCTAACAACTAGTAATAATAGCTACTATCACTACATTAATTCTTCACTAGTTGTTTTTAATTTTTTTTCAGGGGAGAGTACTCAGGTTCAGGGAAACACAGATAGTTAGCTAGTTACTTGTCAAGTAGAGAATGAAACTAGCTCTTACCCAATGGCCATGTTCTTTCGCTTTACCGTGAACTGATTTTAAAATCAAATGTCTGTAACAGAATTGCCATGTTGGTGAGAAAAGGAGCAAAAGAGTAAATAATAAAAAATTTAAAAGAAAAGTAAATCCATCTGTTGGTGCTTTGGTAGAAAGATATTTGCTAAAGGAATAAACATCTGCCTGGACTTCAGTTAACTTTGAAAAGGAACTACACAAACATCAAAGACACTTTAAGAGAATGAAAAGGCAGCCTACAAAGTGGGAGAAGATACACAAAATGCAAAAATTAATACAAGTAATTTCTCTTAACAATAAGATAAGGGAGGACATCTAATAAAAATGAACAAAAGACTTAGACATTTCACAAAAAATGACTGTTCAGATGGTAAATGAACATGTGAAAAAGTGACCTGTGTTATTAGTCATTAGAGAAATGCAAACTTGAACTATACAGGAAACGATTACATACCCACCACTAAATGGCTAAAATGAAAAAGATCGTAATACTGATCTTGGTAAAGACCTAGAATAGCTAAATCTCTCAAACACTGCTGATGGGGGTGCTCAGTTAGGAAAACTAGTTTGAAAACTGTTTAATGTTTTTGACTAAAGGTAAATATATATATACTATATGACCCACATTTCCACTTCTGACACTGTGGCCAATAGAAATGTGAACCTGTATTCATCAGAGGGTCTGTTGGAAGAATGTTCGTAGCAGCCTAATTCCTAATAGCAAAAAACTGGAAGTTAACCAAAAGCCCAATAATGAGAATAGAGAAATAAATTGTGGAATAAATCTCACGATGGAATGCTATATACCAGTGAGAATAAGTGATTTGTTGCTACATATAATAACACAGATGGATCTTGCAAACATGGTATTGAGCAAAAGAAGGTAAATACAAAAATTTCCTACTGTATGATACCATTTATATGAAGTTGAAAAATAAGAGAAACACTATGCTGTTAGAAGTCAGTCTAGTAGTTGCTTTTGCAGGATTAGTGACTGGAAAACATCTGGGGGAGCTCCTTGGGTACTGGCAAGGTTCTCTGTCTTGATCTGGCTTACACATATGTGTTCAAATTTGGAAAATTACCATCATATTCTTCACTTGTGATATGTACATTTTATGTATGTATATTATACTTTATATTAAATTTTAAAGTACTATATTTACACATACTTATGGTTAATTTTTGACTGTTACTGCAACAGTATAAACTTAAAGTGAATTATTTCCATTTACATATGAAACAAGAATTTTGTGGCATACTGGGATATATATTGTGAGAGAAATGTTAATTTTACTTGATTATACTTCACTGGCTTCTGAATTTGTCTGAACTTGGCAGGATGAGGAAGGAAGAAAATAGTGAATTCTGTCAGCACCAGCAATTATTGCTGCTTTGCACTCACTCAACCGAAGCAACTCTGGCTGCCCAGGTTTTCACAAGCTTAGAGCCCTTTCTTGCCTGAGAGTCTTGTACTAAAGCATACCTTCTTATTATAATTTGTATACCTCCAAGAAGAGAAACATAAGGAAAATGACTCTGACATTCTGGCTATAACAAATTCTAAGTCTTCATTTGCATTAGTAACTGAAAAATGCAATATGGAATGGGGAACCTTAGCAATGGTCTTAGAACTATTTTTAAAATTGTTCAAGTAATATATAGGTTGAATTTTCAAATTCTCACCTCAACACAAATGATTCCATTTCAGTATATGAAAGGTATTGAAAGAAGAACAAATTTACATTCCAGAAAATACAAATTGGGAAGCACCATTTGGCACAGAGTCTGATAGGCCGTCTGAGACAGAACGTTTAGAATCAGATCTGTCCTTGCTTAGAGTTCACACCATCCTACCTTCGCATTTGACCACTGTGGAATCTGACCAAAGGTTGTCTAATCTGATCAAGGTCAGCCAGTGAGTGGTTGGGGGCAAAAGCAAAGCAAGACCCACCATCTTTAAAACTTTTGATCTCATTCTCTTATACCACATTAAAAAAAAAAAAGTAACAAAACTCACTGCTATCGAGTCGATTCTGACTCATAGCAACTGCTATTGGGTTTCTGAAGCAGTAAGTCTTTACAGAAGTAGACTGCTCCATCTTCCTTCCTTGGAGCAGCTGGTAGATTTGAACCATCAACCTTCAGGTTAGCAGTCAAATGCTTTAGACATTACATCACCAAAGCTCCATCCCACAATAGAGATTCTAAATAATAAATGAATAATAACCCAAAGACATAGGTGCAATATTAATGCAGGTTTTTTTTTTTTTTTAATTTTTATTGTTGCTTTGGCTGAAAGTTTACAGAGAAAATTCACCTTCCATGTAGCAGCTCACACTCTTTGTCTCGTTGTTGTTGTTATGTGCCGTCGAGTCGGACCCGACTCATAGAGACCCCTCCTCAGGTTTCCGAGGCAGTATCATTAAGTAGGTTGCCCCATCTTCCTTCCGAGGAGTGGCTAGTGGGTTTGAACTGCCAGCCTTGCAACAGGTCCCCTCCCACTTCCTCCCCATAGTTACCTCTTCCCTGTGTCCTTCCCTCCCATTAATGTAGTTCTTTTAAAATATGTATTTCAGCTTGCTACCCTCGAATTCCCCCCAAAGAAGTTATTTGGAAACAAGGATGAACGTGTGATTGCTGAGAGGCGAAGTCACTTAGAGGTAACAGAATTCAACTTTTCTTCCTCTGGTGTGTGTGGAAGATGTGCCATGATTGGCTAATAAGAATTGTTCCCGTTAAACACCATTACTTTTTTCATCAATATGAAGGTGCTGCTTCATTAACACAGGAGATGGCAGCAGTAGATTTTAAAGTAATGATACTGGTTTATTGAAAATATAAGCCCTTATCCCTCTTCTGGTGAATAGAACACTATACAGGTTTTTAAGGAGATACATTTATTCTAAGGGTTAGGAAACAGGTTGTGGGTGAAAACTAAATATTCACCATAGACAGATGGTGTTAATGCAGGATGAAGGTACAGAACTGGCTGTAAAAATTTAGAATTAATTAACTGAAGATTTATACTATTGCATCATGTTACTTTTTCAAGATAGTTGGAAGCAAAAAGACACATACCTTATTTTAGTCATAGTCATGGTTATTTTCTTTTGACTTACTTTTTCTTTTTTTAATGTCTGAGCCAACTACATGTAGAACTCTGGTTTACAACAAGTGTTTTTCTGCTGCCTCACTGCCAGTACACATTCCTGTCTAATTTATCTAGTTTGCATTTCTTCTAAGGATGGAGTTGCTTTCGTGGTTGGAATGTAGTGCTTAGGAGCATGAGTCCATGTACTGAGACTTTGCATGCACCACTGTGTTTCTTTGAGAACAGTAGGAAGGGTGAGTGCAGAATCACAGGTAGTCATCTATTGTTGGCCACTCAGTTGCCATTTTAAGCCATTGAGGCAGACATAAGGACAAAAGAATAAATAACTCACTATTGTCTTTTTTCAATAAGTTCGAGTCCCCTTTGCTTTTTCTTTAAGAGGGATATGACCTATTGCAGATGAAATCAAATAAGAAAAAGCCTGAGAGAGCCCTTTCTGAATTATGAGGTACTACTTAAAAATTAGGAGCTCTGGTAGCATAGTGGCTAAAGCACTTGACTGCTAACCAGAAGGCTGGTGGTTCAAACCCACCAGCCACTCCTCGGAAGGAAGGTTGGGCAATCCTACTTCCGTAGTGATACTGCCTCGGAAACCCAAGGAGGGGTCGCTATGAGTCAGGGCTGACTCAACAGCATATAACAACAACAACAACAACTTAAAAATTAGGTATTATTCTTATTCCTCATGACACTCAGTTTGAAATGGCTGCCCATGGAATCCACTTTATGTTGACGGACCAAGCATTAGGGAAATGTCACAAGCTGGAGGTCCCAGTGAGGGCAGAAAAGACATGTGGAGGAAATGGAGAAAATTAAGAGTAGGAGGTTGTAAACCATGAGGGGAATTTTAGAAGTTTGAGATCTTCAATATGGAACCTGTCTGAGGAAAAACAAGTCTCAGGGTATGGCCAGGCATAAGATTGTTTGAGTTAAACTATGGAATTACAAATTTGAAGAGATCCTAGAACTTTTAAGACTGACCTTTGGATGAGTCATTGCAGGCCCCTAAAAATCATCCTATTATGCCATGACCCTAATATCCAACTGAAGAATTTGCCTTCAAAGAAAAGCTTATCTTGGTGAGCCTGCTTAATTAAATTCTCTTAAAGGTTTGTTTGTGCCATACAAAATAAATAAATAAAAATAGAACTAGCAATAGTTTTCTTTGTTTTCTTTACCTGACCCTTATCTGCCTCAGTTATGACCTCGACTTATCATTAATGGAAGCATGGAGAATGACAACATATAAAAACAAGTTCATAAATGATAGATTGTTGTTGTCCCAGCTGCACAGTGCTCTGATTATATTTGTGTGATGCCCAGTTGTGCAGTAATAGATTCGATATTCTGTGTGCTGTGTTTTGTGAGCACTATGGGACCCTTGTCCTCCACCTTCCAGTGTCAGAGTAAAGTTCAGGGCAACCTTTCATTCTTGGTACTTTCAGATGGAAGCCTCATTTGTTCTTTCAGTCTCTCCTACTTAATTACATAGTTCTACTAATCTATTTATAGTTGAGGAATAGGGTTTTATTTTGATGTACCTATTCAAAGATTCCTTCTGTTGCCTTTATTGTTGTTCACTGTTGGTATTATGCTCTGGTAGCATAGTGGCTAAGGCACTTGACTGCTAACCAGAAGGCTGGCGGTTCAAACCCACCAGCCACTCCTTGGAAAGAAGATGGGGCAATCTCCTTCCGTAGTTATACTGCCTCGGAAACCCAAGGAGGGGTCGCTATGAGTTGGGTCTGACTTGACAGCACATAACAACAACAACAACAACTAATCTATTTATTGTTGAGGAATAGGGTTTTATTTTGATGTACCTATTCAAAGATTCCTTCTGTTGCCTTGATTGTTGTTCACTGTTGGTATTATGGAGAGAGGCACTTAAATTTTAAATTAAATGCATTTCAACTAATGTTGACAATTATATCTTAGAACATTATATTCTTTTCAAGGAGCAAGAACAATTTAGCATCACTTTTTTGGACAATTCATCTAAGATTTTTGAGTTAATTTCTTGTGACCATTGTCACTTCTTTTGATCTCCTAACATTAGAAGTTAGTGCTTGAATTAGTATATTTTCCTGTGAAAATTTTTCCTTTTTTTTTTTTAATTTTATTGTGCTTTGGATGCACATTTACAAAGCAAATTTATTTTACATTCAACAGTTCATACACATTTGATTTCATGACCCAGTTACCATCCCCAACTATAAAAACCTCGCCTCTCCTCCCGTCCCTGTGACTATTCCCTGTGCTCTTCTTAACTATGCATTCCTGTCTGTCCAGCTTGCCCTCCATGTGAATGTTGCCCCTCTGGTGTCTCCTGGCTAATTGCTCTGAGGGGTACATCTCCCTAGAGTAGGTATGTGCATTGCCCTTGGGAAGTTGTTCTGCATGTAGGTCTTTCTACCATTGTACTTAGAGTGAATCTGTGGGAGGGAGTCCATTTCTACACCCAAAGGGTAACCCAGGGCCATGGTCTCCATAGTTCCACCAGACTCTATCCAACCAGGAATTCTGGCCATTTTTGTGTTTTTTGGTTTTTGGTTTTTTGTTTTGTTTTTCCCCAAAATTTTTATGGTTATTTGGGTGAAATTTTACAGAGCAATTTCATTTTCCATACAACACTTCATACACGTTTTGTCTCATGACATTGACTGCATTGAGGTTTGGTATTCTGGGTGCGGTGCTTTTGTGAGCACTCTAGGACCCTTCTCTTCCAACTTCCAGCAACAGAGTAAAGCTCAGGTCACCCTTTCATTCTTGGTACTTTCAGATGGAAGCCATATTTGTTCTTTCAGCCTCTCAGTGTTACATTGGTCACAGTGTAAGAGCTCTCTTCCCACTTCCTCCCCATAGTTACTTCTTCCCTGTGTCCTTACCTTCCATGCACTCCTGTCCCCAAGCGGTCTCCCTGTGCATACACTACCCTTCTGTTCTCCTATGATTGGTCTCTCCAAGGAGTATATCTACCTGATATAAATGTTCAGCCTATATGCCATTCTTTTATTTGGCTGGCTGATCTTCCTTTTTAATGTAATTCAAGAAACATTTATTTAATTCCTAATAATGTTAGAGGCAGTGCTAGGTGTGATATAAAATACAAAGATAAGACATTGTTTTCCCCTCCAAAAGCATATGTTTAAATTTCTATATGAAATTTCACCCAGAGGTTAATATAAATATATATGCACATACAGAAAGTTGGATTCCACTAGGACAAATCTTCATTAGCTATACACATAGTGTTTGTTCATTTATCTGACAGATTCTTCAATCCAGAATTGCAACTATAAATTTTCTCTAATAGAGCAGCATCAAATAATGTTTTAAACAAGAATTAAGATGCATTTAAGTCTTCCTTGACTAGTAAAATATTTCCAAGATTTGTACCCTGTATTTGAGTCTGTTAGCAAAAAGCATAAAACATTGTCACCTTAGAGATGTAGACACTGTGTTGGAACTTTTCAAGTTATATAACTTAAATATATTAAAAATAACTATTTGTAAACATGGTGGATAATAGCAGAATGTCTAACCGAATGAGATGTCTTGGAGATGAATTTTCTTACTTTGGAGATAGGAATATTATTTTTATGTCAGTGGTGGCGGTATTGGCGATGCTGGTGATATGGTGACCAAGGATGGTAACATTTACCCTTGGGTTTCTAAGGCAGTATCACTACAGAAGTAAATTGCCAATCTTCTTCCGAGGAGTGGCTGGTGGGTTTGAACCGCCAGCCATATGGTTAGCAGTCAGATGCCTTAGGCACTACACCACCGGAACTTCCAGCATTTACCATATTGTACCATAAAAAGTGGACGCAAATGGTAAATGGAGCAGTGTGATTTTGGCCTCCTAGGCTAACTCTTAATGATAAACTTTTATGGGTTCTACCCATACAAAGTCACCAGACCAACTCTGGCTTATAACTGAAGCCAACGTTTGAAGAATCTGTTCTTGTATCTGTAATCAAACTCTCCCTGGCATTATTTGCTCAAAAAAAGCCACAGAATCTTTTAAAGTTTCTAATGTAGGTGGCTATGCGTTGGAATCGACTTGACAGCAACAAGTAATGTAGACGGATCTCCCCGTCACTGCCTTCTTGGCCCCACTTGACATAGTTCAGTTTAACTCTGCTTGTTGAGGGGTAGACCCTCCTAGCAAGCACCCAGAGGATTATGATGGCAACACTTACCACAGGTGATGTGCTCCCCAGGCTCTATACATCACTTCTGAAACCCTGACAACAACCTCAGGAAATAGATGCTGGCGGATAAACTGTCGAGGTAACAGGAAAAGAATACACCCAGTCTCTGCCTGGTGAGTTTTTTTTGAGCCAAAAGGTACTTTTTAGTGTGTTTGAAACCATTAGTATTTTACTGTATTTGATACCATTACTATTAGCGACACCATAAGAAGCTGCCACTGTTGTAGCTCAAAAATGGTGACATATTGGCAGTTTTTTAATATTACTGCTATCTTATGTTGACTAGGTGTTTACTAAGTGCCAGGTGTGCACCAGATGCTTAATATGCCAT